TATATATATAATTGGTATTGGACAAAATTTTACTATCAGTGCATCCCTACTGAAAACATCCAATTGCCAAAACCAGCTATCTTCTTCATAACCCTTAATTATTTAGCTGGTGTCAACTAACATCCTACAATTTGTTTCTATTCTTATTCTTTTATTCTTATATTGTATTTCTATTCTATCATACCCAGCCTAAACAAAACTGTTCATTGCTAATCAACACTTTAAAGTCAGAAAGTATACCACATCAGTGAAATCAAACTTGACAAATGGATCCAAACTCAAGAGTAGAGAGATTTGAAACCGGTTTTGCGCTGATTGAGGTCAGTGTGTCAGTGGAGTGTCTTTGCAACACTTTATGAGACAGAGACACATGGGACAATGCAATGATGGAGTCCAAGAGTGAGAGCTTACCCCCCACATAACCCTCTCCTCTATAGGGCCAGTGCTGCTGGTCTCTACAGGGTGCTGAGAAACAGACCCCCCTGACATTCAAAGTGGCCTGGATGTGGGACTGGCCACTTCGGTCAATGGCCTTGAATTGCATCCTAACTCCTTTTGAATGTAAATGTGAGTTTAAACCAAAGAATGGCCCACCTTCATTATGCCACTATGCAGCCCCCACACAATCACAATTAGGCATTTGATGACACTAAAGCTGCAAAAACATTACAAATACATCCACCTACAAGCACAAGATGTTTTAAAACTATGGAAAGACATGAAAATTGACAGCAGGAATACCATGTTATCACACAATTACTGCCATCCTGACATAACAGAGACTGAAACAAAGAATGTATATGTGTAAATACAGACAAAACCATACACAAATATGCTCATGCAAAAGCCACACAACACACAATTCATTTTTGGAGTCTCCCTTAAGCTTATTCAGGCGACATTCCTTCCAAAAAACAACAACTCACTAAGACTAAATCCAATTGTAATCCAATAAATATTTGTGATATCCACAGTTTACAAACAATTACAGTTTTGTTTGTAGTTCAAAAATACAGATATTATCAGGTAATCAAACAATCTTGCCAAACCAAACCCTGTGGGCTGGGTATTTCATTTTAACATAAATAATTTAGTCCAAATTGAGTTGATAAGGCAAACGATGGGGATTTATTTCGTTTTCAGGTTTGCCATCTTGACTGTAAGGTTTTCTATCGGATCATCTCTTACCGTGTGCTGCGAACGTGACAGAGGCTCAATTCAGTTCGAATGCTCTGACACTGCAGTCTCTCAGCCAACAAAACATTCGCTCATTTTGAAAAAGACAGATTGACCGTGAAATAGGAAATTTACTTACTTTTTATGCCATTCTCTAATGTTTATAACATTTAAGTAGTGCTATTCTGTGGAACACAAAAGGAGATGTTAGTGGCTGACAGCCTCAGTCACCATTCACTTTCAGTGCATCTTTTTCATGCACTGAAAGTAAATAGTGACTGGGACTGTAAGTCTGCTTTACATCTACCTTTTTTGTGATCCACGGAAGACGGAAAGCCATTAAGAGTCAGTAAATTATGACAGAATGACCATTTTTGGGTGAACTGTCCCTTTAAGCCTTATCAATTCTCTAGCATAATCCCAAACACAAAATCTACTTTGAGGTAAGAAAGTAAAAATTTCTGGTTTAGAATTTAACAAGTTAATGGACACTTAATTACAAATCTGGTATCATCTGAATCAGCAAGTTCTCTCGTTTAATTTGATATAAAATATTCACATCTATGTGTTTAAAAAAAAAAAGCTAAAACATATCAAGTCTGACCAGATGTTTCCAATGTACTTCCACTTGTCATAAGAAATAGCACAGAATATATGCTATATTTACCACTGTATGTCTCTATTATGTTTTTACAAATGTTAGACTAAGTTTAGGTATATCCATTTTAAATATGTTTTATCTGTCAGTTTGAAACTGACAAAGTTCTGGGGGTGGCAAATTCATTATTTTTGAACAAATACATTTTATTACCAAACAAACCCATGCAGGAAAATAAAAATGTTCATGATTTTTATAAGCAGGTCTCTTGAAACTTAACATTAATTTACACAGTTCAGATTATAACTATAGTTTACTATAATTTATAGTAAACAAATATGAATACGTGAATATTATAATCAAACTTCATACACAAACATAGAATTACAGACAATAAAGCAAAATGTGTTACAAAACTCCCCTATATGACCCTCCTGAGGACAAGCACATGGTCAATGTAGCCTACTGTACGTACAGTCACTGCGTGATGCTCGACTGAGACTCACTGAATTCAGCCAATCTTATTATGACCGAGTAACGTTTAACCTTACTGCCTGTGTGGACTAAATATGACCTAAAATATACATATTATAGAGGCAAATGCTTTATATAAGGCAATTCTCAGGTAGCTTCTAACTACCAACTGATCCAGCTAATGAATAATTCATAAAGCACACTAGACTCACAACACATCCGATGTCACGATTAACTGATGGGCCTAGAGACATCAGAACGACAAAAAAACTAAAGTTTATTGTTAGTCTGAGGGAAATTGTAAAATTTAATGAAAGTAGTAGGTCATAATTCACTAATATACTGGGTCGTGTGTTACTAGGCCCTTTTGAATATATATAGCTGAACATCTAAAGCAGCGTATGCAGGTAACTTAAACTCATGCTTGACATTTGTCCATAAACACCGCGACTGAAACGATTGAATCAAGGTTTCGATAAAACAAGACGACACCGATATAAGGAGTAATTTTCCCATTAGAATAATAAAACACAATCCTGATTTACCTTCTCCATGCGCAGACCACAGGCAGATGGTGGGGAGAAACAGCAGAGGACCCCAAAATAAGGTCCAAACATCCCTCGCTGTTCCAGATCTCATTCCTAAAAATCCGTTTTCCAAAAAATAAAAAGCTGAAACCGCAGCAAAACGCGACGCTGCTTCTTGTAAGCAAGCAAAAAGTCCAGAAGAATCCGCTTTGGATGAGCAGACAGTTCCTTTTCGTTACTCGTAAAGGAGTAGAAAAACGATATCTGGTAATAATTGTATAATTTTCCTTTAATGGAAACATTAAGATCAATTAAAACACTGTGTTATTCTTGCCAGCTATTAAATGATGCAATCGTGTGGGAGCCACGAATTTCACTCGACCGATAATCTGCATCTTCAGCCTCCATTTCTTGAAAACCTGAGAGGGACGCGCAGCACGGCCAGTGAAACGAGCGCTTTCTCCTCCAACAAAAACACCTTATGCGAATGTGCGTATGCCAAGTGTGATGAACTACGCTATACTGATGATGTACGGAGGGATTTTGAGGTCACGTTGAAAGAGCTTGACGACTCGGATAGCGTATTTACGTATGAATGAAAGCCTCCCGACAGCGCTCGATCCAAAATATCCGGCAGGACAAAAATGGTTTCACCAACTGCTCACCCTCGCCTACCGTCTTCACGCGCTCTCACGGTCGGTCTGTTTTGCGGTAGGAAAAAAAAAACATTTTGCCGAGATGCAAGAGTGAGCAGCTCCCGAGCGTGGGTTTTTGGTTTTCCGCACCGTAAAAAATCACGAACTGTTTGATATAAATAGCTTGTGAGCCTAGTGTTTGATTCTCAAGTGTCCACGGCGGCGCTCGGACTCCTCCGCGACTCTTCTGACGGTCTCCGCTCAGTAGAATCACCGCTGTAAACAAGACTCGGCTTCTCTCACAGAGAAACACGCCAGGCATGAGAGAATGCCAAAACATGGACTGGAACACTGGACCAACCGTGTTGACGCCAGCACACCATTTGATCTCAAACGTCAAGGTGACAGGAATTTGTTTTGTTTTTGTTGTTGTTGTTGTTGTTGTTGTTGTTTTAACGAAAGTATATTCGTAACAATAATGATTCCAGCCATTAACTTGTTTACATGAATATACGCTTATACCAGGTCTGTCATAATGTTTATTTGAAGAATAAATGTAATTTCATTTTTACTTCATTTTAATTTATAAATAGTCATAATTTACATAAATAGAATATCTAGTGGAATCGTCATCATTTGAATTTAGAAGATTTCTAACAATCAATCTCCTGTCTTGCAAAAACTAGGCTAACTAAAGAAAGTTTGAGATAGATAGATAGATAGATAGATATATAGATAGATAGATAGATAGATAGATAGATAGATGGATCACACACTTTGCTGTGATTGTGCTATCAATCACAGCATTGTAGCCTACATCAAGGAGTTTATATGCATTTCTTATACATTTTAAATTATTCCATTTTATTAGGCTATATTTTTATGAAAAGAATTATAAGTTTTAATCAGAAAATAGTATTATTATAGCTGAATAATAACACTATTTTCTTCTAATTTGTTTCAAAATTGTTTTAAAACTTTACAGCTGCTTTGAAACAATCTATATTGTATGAAATGCTACATAAATATGTGACTTGAATTGACTTGTATTTATATTTTTATCATATTTTTTCATATGTTGTATTAAAGCTATTCTCTCTGCTATGCTGTTTCTTCATAAAATAGCATACTAAAGGGACAAAATATCTGACTGTACGCATAACAAAAAAAATTTAATGAAATTAAATGTGTTATGTATTGTGAAATTAAAATACATGCAAGTAGGCTAAAGGCCTATAACCTTTATTTGGGATCTTATCTATGCACAATCAACTTGTAACACTCCAAAGAGAAAGGAGAACTTGAAATCGCATCATATGACCCCTTTAAGATAGAGGCCACAAAAATAAACTAAACATGAAATAAGAAAAGGGTACATAATATTGGGTTAGCTCAGGACGTGTTGATCGTACCATGTTTAATAATTTCCTAGAAAACGGACTGAATATTTTTAAATCCAAGTGCACTGGCCCTTTAAGATGCGATCCGAGTTTCATAAACGCCAGATTTGACAGTGTGAGTAAAGTTAATTTAATGTGTATGTTCAGATAAGATAATTATAGCGCTTTTTTAGTACGCTACTCACTCGTATTCCAATTTAACTAAAGCTGGAATTCGTCATCTCTGGCACATGGAGCTCTTAAATGGAATGAACTGATGGAGCTATTAAAATTAATGCATGGGTTTTTATAACCTTCAAATTTATCCCATTTTTATCCACAACGATAACAATTTGTAATCAATTCTCTGTTCAAAATATTACCCAGCTCCACATTTTAGAAGTGCACATATTTTGCCAATGACATAGTCTAGTCAGCTAAAAGTAAAATCCGATGTAGAATTTCATTCATTGAGACGGAACGGCTTTACAATTACAATCAATTAATTCGTTGGTGATGATGCAGAGTCATCACTGTTCAACATTATTGCCTGAGAATAGCACTTTTTTAAAATTAAAATTGACCTACGGCTCCTAAGTCTATAATGCTGAAATATATTGTTAAATTCAGGTGTCTAAACACACTTAAAAATATTTCAGTCTGTTTTTAGATTTAGGCATTTAAATTGTTCTGCAAATTTCCATTTCGCTGAAATTAGTAAACTTAAAATGGCCTGCAAATTGTGAATTCAGTACCCTATAAATTAAAATTAATTACATTTAGGTATGAATATCTACAACCTACACTCTTAAAAATAAAGGTGCTTCAAAAAGTTCTTCAAGCGATGCCATAGAAGAACCATTTTTGGTTCCACAAAGAACCATTCAGTCAAAGGTTCTTTAAAGAACAATCTCTTTCTTACCTTTTTATAATCTGAAGAACCTTCTTTCGCCCCAACGAACCTTTTGTGAAACAGAAAGGTTCTTCAGGTGTTAAAGGTTCTTTATTGAACCATTTAGACAAAAAGGTTCTTCTATGGCATCGTGAAGCACCTTTATTTTTAAGAGTGTAGGCCTATATTCATTTAAATCTATTTTTGAGTGGAATTTGATCAATTGTTTGCGTCAAATTGCATCACTATTTTATTTTATATTATATGAAATGTGGATCCAAAAATATAGTTTCTTACTCAAACAGCATTCAGAGTTCTCTAAACTGCAGCTCAGTTCTTTGTAGCCTTGGAAATCGCCTTGACCTTGTATCTTCTAATCTGCAATTTTGTGTTTGGCGCCTCCATATGTCAAAATACAGCATTTATCATGTCTCATGTCTCATTGGCAATGAACAGATCCTTAGTATGTTCACAGATGGTTTCAATTCCAGATCATTTCTACAACAAATCTTCAGCACTATAGAGAAAATGATCTGTTCTCACTGCAAATTCAATGTTAAGATATTTGACACTAACTTTGAATTTACAATTATTGTTGAAAGATCCACTAATTAAAGAGCATATATTGTGGAAATAGACTTGTTAAACTTGTTAAATTACTCATTTTGATAACAGAGCAATAAGATCTTTCCCACATTCCTGTCTCTTATAATCATACATCTTTTTTTGAAAAAAAACAAAATACATTTTATGCTCACAACAAAGCTGAAACACAAGGATAGTGCCCCAGATTACCTCTGTTCTGGCTAAACAAACAAAAGTTAAGCCCCTGTAAAGCTACAGTCAGAAAAAGAAAAAGCAGAGCAGTCACCAAAAGCAAAACTCCCTTGATACTGTGTTTCTGTCTATATGAGTTTGTCCTCATGCAGTTCCACCCAGACTACCTTTCCTTTAGTTTCATTTCAGCCTGGCAGTCAAGTGGAAATAAGCATGTTTACCACTGACAATAGTGATGACACACTGTTTGTTTCTCATTTTATCTAAGCCCAGACAGGAAGAAGAATTTGGAGGAGAGGGCGACAATTATGTTCAGTCGAACAGCTACAGTCAGAAAAAGAAAAGATTCCTGAAAAACAAGCTGAAAATAACATAGTGCAGGAGGGGTGCAACAAATTTGTTTTATCGCATAGCAGCTTGGTTTGATCACAATTATTATTGTTATCACCCCCAAAACCAGGAGCCAAAAACTTTATTGCAGATGAACACTGACCATCAAGTATTCACTTCCTCCTCTTTTGTAAATAATAGTTGAGACATTCCTTATGTCTGGGCTGTTTGGGTAAACATTTTAAGGGGGGAAAACATCCCAGAGAATGTGTTTGCTGCAATACTCCCATAAAATGGAAAACAAATCTTTTTTGTACAATACATCATTTTGACCCTATAAACAGTATTTCTGCAAGAAAAAGATAAAGCTGAGTCATTTGGAAAGAGTTCATTTTAAGTGCAGCAGTCAGTCAACATGCAGTTCAGCTCTTCTTTTGGATGGCATGAACCTTGATTCATCAATTGGATTGTTGTGTTGCCACTAAAAAGCTTAGCTGGAATGATCTATTAGCAGTTCCTCCTAAGCTTCAGATTACCAACCATGTATTTACTATAGTACATATCCACCATCTAGTGACTGAGTTTTTTCCTGAAATATTTTCTTTAAAAGCAACTGTGTCTTTTACATTATAGTTTAATTGCTTGGATTACATGTGTTTTACATACACAAAGTTATAAATAAATGAGATCAAATTTAATTAAAATTAATTAATTTAATTAAAAACACCTAAACTCAATGTATGGATATTTATTTATTTACTAGTGCTGTCAAATGATTAATCGCAATTAATCGCATCCAAAGTAAAAGTTTTTGTTTACATAATATATGTATGTGTACTGTTTATTTATTATGTACTGTATAAATAAATAAACACACAGTATATATTTTGAAAATATTTACATGTATATACATTCATATGTTTATATTCTTATATTTTATATTATATATAAATATATTTAATATATAAATATAACATATTTTTCTTACATATACTATACATGCATGTGTGTGTATTTATATATACATAATGAATATACACAGTACACATACATTTATTATGTAAATAAATACTTTTATTTTGGTTGTGATTAATCGCATTAATCAGCACTATTATTTACATTTATAAAGATTTTAAAAACTTTTTTTTTTTACTTTATTATTTTATAAATGCAAAGCTTATGGTACAAAAACATCAAAACATTTTGAGTGGCCATTAGTTGACCATACATGATAGTTTAGTCTAGATGAGTGAGAATTACATTATTTTTGTCAGTGTCATCTTTCATGGGTTACATATTAGGTCAGGGTTCGATATAGCCAAGGCCAATGTCATAATCCTCTTGTAAAATCTGATCATGTGACACGGATTGAAGACACCTAAGGAATCCCGCATGGGTTACACAAACAGGCTGATGACAAAGCAAGGAAGGAAAACAAGTATGAAACTCACTGATATGCAAAGCTAGATCCTGTTTTACATCTTAAAGAGAAACCACATAGGTGTTTTGTATTTAAAGTCTTTTGGCCAATTTACTTTGCTGCAATATTTGCTCTGATGCCAAATATTCTTGGCAGTTCAACAGCCGAGTGACAGTCAATCCCTTTTGAGGATAAACTCTCAGCTTTACAAAAGCATATTTAACAATCCAAGCTAGCCTTTCCTTGTGAAAGGAATTTCAGAAATGTCTGCAATTTCTCAGTGGGAAGTCAGTGGTTTATGGGTAATGGAGATGAAGGGAGATGGGAATAAAACGGATGCAGAACGCATTTTCCATAGCAGGAGAGATTCAGTGTACTATATTACTGCAGTCGTAAGTAGTAAATCAAGGTCAGAAAGGAACTCAGTGCAAAGAATAGTGCATTTGTGTCACATGAAACCTTAAGGCTCTCATCAAAGAATGAAAAAATAGATATGATATATGTTGTCATATCTGTTGATAATATGGTCATGCAGTTCTGTCTGGTATTGTTTTATTGTGATTTCCGGCTGTTGTAGAACAAGA